GCTGATCGGCCCTTGGCCGATTACGACGGATGCACCGCTGAGTTTCACCCACCCTCACCATGAGCCGGCGTGGAGGACAGCTACCTCCCGCCTGCTCTTACCTGCCGCGTTCCCGAAAACCTGCCCCTTACTGGGGCTCCAAAATGCGCTGCAGTAAACAAAGAACGGGGTGTGGTGCCAGGAGGCCCTAGAGAATTCGGGGGGTCTGCAGCCCCCACTCCCACGGCACAGCTCACCATCAGTGCAGACACTGCGTATGCTGGTAAACGCACACCCACCAGTCGCTGACCCGAGGAGAGCCCGACTCCGGAGAAGGATGAGCCGCAGCACACAGAAGGGAACTGCAGAGAGCCCCTCCTATCTACTCCCCAAAAGTGAGTGTCCGCTACACGTGTGACACTGGGGTGAACTCTGACCTCAGTGTCCTTAACATAATGAGGAAGAATTTTATTAATTCCACTTATCCAGATTACTTAGCTTGATTCCATCCTGTTACAAAAGGCTTTATTAGGCAGCTCACACATCACCTGGAGGAAGACAGGATGAGACACACTGAAAACAGCCAAAATACCACAATTTGGTCAAAGCGTCCCCACTGGTTCAACCCAACCCCTGCAGGCAGCCAGCCACCAGCTGAACTGACTTCACCCCAGGAGGACCTCACGTGGATGGTGTGGCCGTGGCAGAGCAGCAGGGGCCCTGACCTCAATGTGAGAGGCAGACTGGAAGGAGGGTCTTGAGCTACTATTAGAGAAGAAGCATGTGGCACCGAGGACGTGTGACAGCGAGCCCACTGCGCCTGCTGAACTTAGAGCCGGAAGAGCATCAGAGACACCCTCCACCCCAGTCAACGCGTTTGCACGAGGGAGCAGGGCCCACGCAGGGACGGCATGAATAGCTACAGATCTGCAGGCAGAGCCCTGGGCCACTGACCCCAGGCCCTCAGTTTCTTACACAACCATCCACAGTGACCACAGGAGCAAACCAAGAGGGCAAGGAGAAAGCACATTAGAAAAGACAGTGACTGTAACATGCAGGAAGTGAGGAGCCCCTGCAGCAGGGCCCCTCCCGCCGACCATCCAGGAAGGACTAGCAGGGACATGCGGGAAGATCTGCAAAGCCTATTCCGCTGAAGACGTGCTTCTGTTCCCTGCAGCTAACTCCACTCCGGAATCAGCGTGCAGACCAAACGGCCCCACCCCTCGTTCAACAGGGATGCGACTGTGGGGTGACTTGTAGGGTCCTGAGGTCAGGCTGCCCGGCTGTGAATCCCAGTTGCTCCACTGAGGACTGAGTGACCATGGATGCTGCCTCCGCCTCCCTCTGGCCCAGTCAGCTGACCTGCAGCGGTCCCGACTGCACAGGGTCACTGTGGGAAATGGACACGGGGCTGCAGCAAACCCTCAGGCCCAGTTCACAGCCACAACTCAACATCAGCATCGTTACCACGGCTCCAGCTCCCTCCTTTCTGCAAACACCCAGCACCAGAGTGTGCCAGGCACTGTCCGTGGTGCTGAGGGTGCCCCCGGACAGCCCCTGCCTGGGGAAGCACCATCTACAGAGAAACACACGGGAGCACGAACTCAGACGGTGGGTGTCAGGTGGTGGCAACTGCTACCACGAAAGATGAAACCAGGCAAAATGACAGAGACATGAGTGGGGGCGGAGCAGTGGTTGTTTCGGATAGAATGGTTAAGAAAGACCTCTCCCAACACAGGGAATCCAGCCAATATTTTATGACAACTGTAAATGGAGCACAGCCTTTAAGAACCGTGAATTACTGTGCTGCACACCTGTAACGTAATTCTGTACAGCAACTATACTTCAATGAAAATTAATTGATTAATTAGATAAAATATTTCTCCTTTGCAGTCAAAAAAGGGGCCTCTCTGAAGAGGGACCCTGAGCCGAGAGGAGCTGCATCCTGGGTCAGAGGCACCCCCCGCCCCCCACCCAGGTCAGATCAGGACCTGCGTCCCCACAGTGCAGAACCGGGGAATCAGTCTGGGGGGGGTCTGAGGGGCATGTTACCCCAACCCCTTCACAGCCTTATTTACAGACCTGGAAGGTACATTTCCACGGGGACCCTGCCACGGAGCCATCAGCACAGCTATGAGACACCACCTCCTCTTCCGGAATGGGGAGCTAATCTAGAGAAACGGTGACTTTCCAGTGCTCATCTGGCCACCTCAGGGCAGGTGAGCACAGGAGACCCTGGACACGGCCTGACCCTGCTTGCTGAGGTGCAGATGTGGGGCCGTGCACACCACGCCCTGTGCTGCCCCAGAGTGAGGAAGGCCAAGTGGCCCGAGGACAGGAGCCCCACAGCTCACCCCTGCCCGTCGGGGCAGCAACAGCTCGTGCACTGGGCACCATGTGGCACCCTGGATGCGCCCCCCACCCCCAGCAGCGGCCGGCAGTCAGGACGGCTGGGAGCCCCTCTCATGAACTGCTCTCTGCCCAAGTAATACACCAAAAAGGAAAGCAAGCAAGCAAAGAAGAACACCGCTGTCGCCCACTTGACCACAAACAGCACCCTTCACGTCCACGTCGTGTTCACCGGACTTAAATTTCCAAAACTCGAACTCCCTGTCTCCCAATGAGACTTCGACATCACTGACGATGCATAAAAGAACACACACGCCAACCCGACTGCCAGCGAGGACGCGGGGACTGGACCCTCGGACACGGCTGGCGGGGGGATCACCGGCAGCTGCTCCAGAGCAGAGCGCGGCCGCTTCTGCAAAACAAGACGCTGCCCCGCCCGGCCGGCAGCTTGCGGCCTCGGCCAGGAGAGGGGAGACGCGGAGCCGGGGGGACCAGCGTGCTGACGCTCAGGGGACCTTCACTCACAGCAGCCCAGTGCCGGGGCCCAGGCGCGCATCCACAGCCAAGCGCCTACAGGGACGGCGGCCCAGCGACCAGGAGTCTGGTGCAGAGCAAGCAGGAAGGAGCGACTCCAGGCCAAGCCTCCAGGGCGGGACGAGGGCAACGTGTAGAACACACTGGAAGTGACCCGTTAGTGGGGAGGGAGGCGCAGACCCAACACTGCCAGGACAAAGCACGGGGCGCGGGGAGAGGGCGGTGGACGTAAAAAGGCGTCACGACCGAGCACGCGTGGGACACGTGGGCCGTCCCCTCACCTCGTTCCTGGTGGGGACCCTGACCGGCAGCCAGGCTGGGTACCCGCTGGGGAGCGGGCAGGGGGCACACGGGTCCCCAGTGCTGCTCCTGCACCTGCACTGCAGGGAAAAGGCTGGACACACGTAACAAGAAAGAATTCAAGAAATACTCTGAACAATGAGGTAGCTTCGGAATACCAGCATCCCGGTGAACCTGAGGAAGATGTGCTGAAATGTCCACAAGCGTCCCTTTCGCAGGTGTGGGAGCACAAGTGTGCAATGCGGATTCACTCCCCGACGACACTGGTGGACAGGCTTGGCCTGTGGCTCGACGGCACTTGTGACGGGGAGCGTGGACCCAGCTGCGGGGTGGGAGGCAGACAGACAGCCTCTCCCTCAGCTCCTTGTCCACGCCCCACAAGGGGAAGTTCCTTCCTCCGAGTGCACCCCCTCGCTGCACCCCTCAAAGGCATGGACCTCCCACAGTGACTGCAGGCCTGTGCTGTGTCTCAGCCACTCCCCCGGTGCCAGCGCAGCTCCTGGGACAGGCACACATGGATGCACACACGGGCACACACACGTGCTCGTGCTCCCACTCACACAGACATGCACACACACGCATGCATACAGGCACACACTCTCACTCTCACACACACACACACGTGCAAATGTTTGCTGGGAAAACAGGGCTGTCATCTGAGACATGGGCTCTGAGCAGCCCTGTGCAGTGGCAGCTGAGGCAGCTCCCCAGGGGGGCAGGACACCCCCTGCATCCCTCCTTCTCTGCGGACGGTGCGATGCCTTGGGGAGAAGAGACCCCGCAGACAGACAAAGGCCTCCCAGGGCCCCTTGCCACAGGGCCCGCAGCTCTGCGACCCCCTGCCTCCAGACGTGGGTGACGCTGGGGACTGGGATTGGTCCCAGCTCCAAGTGTCACCTCCTCAGAGAGTCCCTCACCAATTCCTCTAGTCAAAATTAATGACTTTCTCCCCAGAGGGCCCATAGCACACAGTTCATCACAACTCCAGGGCTGTCCCTGCTGGCCCAGGGTCTTGCTTCGCTGTTCACACCGTGGTCTCCCTGAGAGATGTGACTCCTTGAGGCCTGTCCCCGACCCATCACCCTGGGTCCCTGGAGCCTGGCAGCGTGTGCAGCAGGTGTTTAATAACGTCTCCTGGATTAAGTTGGCTTAATTGGCTCTCATGCACACACATGCACGCGGGGGTGCTCCGGAGTTAGTAAAGCACGACGACCCACAGCGCAGACACCGTAGCCGGCCCCTTCTAGGAAGCACGGCTCTGTAAGTGGGCCAAGGCCCAGCGCTCGGAGAGGGGCTGCGAGTGTCCTGTGGAGGGTCTGAGGGCCGCCCTGGGGCGCAGCACTCCCGCCACCACAGCAGGGCAGCCGGGGGCACTGAGGGATGGTGGTGGCATCTCTCCATTCTGAGACGGCAAAGGACAGGACACCTGGGGGAAATGAATGTGGCCCGAAGCTGCGGAGAGGGGCGTGTGGGGCCTCCAGCGGGGTCCACAGAGGAAGAAACCATAGGCCTTGAGCCTGAAGTCACAAATCAGTTAGCTTACGCACAGGGTTGCTGAGTGAAAGTGTATTTCTGAGGTAAAGGCACCACAAGGCCGCGGGGCACCTGACTGCCAGCCCCCCGGCAGGTGCCGAAACCTGACTTCAGAAGACCGGGGACTGGACGCAGCCTCTCTCAGCACGTGTGCAGTGGGGCTTCCACCCACATGTCTAATCGGGAGAACAACTGGCACTAAAAAGACAGAAGCAGGCAGTGGGTGTCACCTTCTTTGCAGACCGGAGAGGCCTCTGCGGCGTGGGCCTGACCTCCAGGCCTGCCAGGTGCAGGGCTGAACCTACCAGGCAGTGCTGCCGCGGGCCGCGTGGTCCAGGTGGCAGAGCAGCTCCAGGGCGTGTGCGGGGCTCGCTGCGTCCTCGGGGGACTCGTGGCCGCCGGGCTCCAGCTCTGCGGGCATCCTCCACACCGCAGCGCACGTCAGCACCTTGCTGTCTGCAGCTGAGCAACAAACGACAGGTCAGCAGGGCGTGGGGACCCCCCTGCCCAGCCATCAGCACCCTGCCCAGACCCCTGCCCTGCGCGCCGCCCCTGTTCCCCTGTTCCAGAACATCATCCTGTTTCACAAGAAAATTTAATTTCCTCAAAATCAATCTCCTGTTCTTCTTCAAAAGTTCTTCAAAACAGGGAGTGTAATGGGGGTGGAGGCCCTACAGATACAATCACTGTGGTGTAGCTGGGTGCTAAGATGGACATGAGACAGCTCTTCCCTCCAACCTCTGTGAGAGAACCTTGCACAGGGACCAGGCCCTGCGTGTGCTCCCCCCACACGTATGCACTAGACGGTGTCTGTGATGCTCCCAGCCCCATCTACTGAGCGGGGCCCGGGGCACCGCAGGCTCAGCCCTGGCGGACAGCAGCCAGGGACCCCACTGTGACATCCTCCGCCGCCCCGCCAGCCACTTGGGCACAGCATCGCCCACAAACGAGGGCATCCTTGCAGGCTCCTGCCGGTGGCTGCCCGGCACCCCCTCAGGCCTGACACCCCTGATTTAGAAGATGTATCTGTGGAACCCCTTGAAAAGCCGCTTTGTGGATGGAGAGACTAAGCACAGACAAGAGAGACAGGTCACCTCTTCTCAGGGAACGTGCCCAGATCTTGGGCTCTGCCCTCCAGATAATCTTTCAATAAGACCGAAAACAAGACAAAAAGACAAAGGAAACAAGAAGGAACAGATTTAACATTAGGCGACAAACACTGAATCATACATTCCCCAGTATAAGTCCCTTCAAAATCTGCTTCCCGTTTAGTTCTAAACAGCATACATGCCAAAAGCCTTCTCCTTTTAAAGGCGGTCTTTAATAAGCAATGATGAAATGATGGACAGGCTTCACCATTAAATCATCACTTGGTATCAAGAGAAAAACAAAGAAGAATTGTAGAAAAAGAACACCCAAGAGTAGTGATTCCCACACATGAAATAAGGAAAAAAACAAAAGGCCTCACGGTACTTTCAAAAATGTCCCACTTCTGACTGGGTCGGTTTCTGTCTACACGAGAAATTAATTTTTCCTGAGATTTCCAGCCCTGCACTCTCTCTGTAGAGCCCATGAGATTGGCAGTGGAACTCCTGACAACAGGGGGGTAACTAATGAAGGAGAGTTGGCAACTCCTTTCTGCAAAGAAGTGAACGCCGAAACATTCACCCAGTGGAGGCACAGGCTATCTGAATCCTCCCAAGTGACACAAAAAGACACGTCTAATCTGCAAAGTGATGGAACTAATAATGTGAGAACTACGTCGTGGCTGCACTGCACCAGGAGCAAACTACACGGAATGACACAAGGTACCAGACAGCGAAAACAGCTGTGGTACAGAGACAGGCCTAGCGGCAGGTCCCCCGCTGAACAAGCCCTTCTCTGGAGAATTTTGTTCAAGTGTCAGGAAAGCAACTCTTCCTGTGCTGTCTGCCCACCCAGCAAACATAACAGCTGGGGGCGACACAGTAAACGCTTTCCCCTTGGAAAGAGGACTGAGATGAGACTGCTTTGTGTTGCCACCTCTAGTTAACAGTCTACTAGGAGTCCTAACTACTCCGTACGGCCAGAAAAAAAGGTACGGTATAAGAATAGGAAAAGGATAAAAATACTATTACTTGCTCACGCTTACCTGTGCAGAAAACTTCAGAGGATCTACAGGTACACATACAGATATCAGAAATAAAACAGGGACTTCAGCAAAATTGCTAAACATAAAGGTGACACCTAAAAATCAATTGACATCTATAGATTAGCAACAAAAGTTCAGAAAACAAAAGTTGAAGAAGAATCAATGCTCAAATTAAAGAATGAAACATCCAGTAACATCTCAAACCACAGCAGTGAAGTAAGAACACCGCTGAGAGGCAGCAGAGGCCCAGTGGATGGAGGGGCGAGCCATGCTCATGGATGGAAGCTTCCTGACTGCAGTCCGTGAGCTCCAAAGTTCTAGCGGATTTTTGGGGGGTTTTGTTTGTTTTTTGATAGAAATCAAAAACCTACTCTGAAGTCCTAAAACTTACATACAAATGTGAACTGCCCAGACAGCCAACACAGTGACACAGAAGAACAAACTGGATGCTTTACAATCTGGTATCAGTTTCCTGCTGATACACAGATAGATAAATAGCCCAGAGAAAGACTATGGATCCAGAAACAGACCTTACAAAGATGGACACCTAGTTTACAACATGATGCCATTTTTGGAGTGGACAAAGGATGGCCTTTTCAATTAAAGAAGCTGGATCCATTGTACATCCATATGAAAAAGTGAATTGCATTTCTACCTCACAACACACCCCAAAACTAAGTCCAGATAAGTCAAAATAGGAAAGATAAAATAATAAAAATCTTCTCTAGAATACGTAGTAGAATATCCTCGCAACCTTGGAATAAGCAGAGATTTATTAATCAGGGCAGAAAAACCACTAATCAATCACAAAGGGAAAGACTGGCAACAGGCCGAATTAAAATTGAGAACTTCCATTCACCAGCAGACGCTGACATCATCAAACTTTAAGACTTCAGCCCTTAGAGACTATTTAAAAAATTGGAGAAACCTGGAGAAAATACTCAGAATACATGTCTAGAAAGGGCTTGTATCCAGAATATATAAAGAATTCTTACAACTCAGTAATAGGAAAAATAACCCAATTTTTTTAAATGCGCAGAAGACTGAATCAGACATTTCACAGAAGAAAACATATGAATGGTCAATGAGCACCAGAAAAGACGCTCAACACCGACAGTAATTGAGGAAACACAGAATAAAACCAAAATGAGACACATGACATAGCTGCCAGGACAGATCAACTTTAACGTGAAGAAGATCAACACCACTAAGTATTGGCAAAGACGGCGGTGGAGACGTGCCCCTACTTTGAGGACCAAGGAAGTGAAGGACTGGGCCCTGTCTAATCCCCTCTCTGGCCTCTGCAGAAAGTCTGGCAGATGACCGTGGGCCACCAGGAGCCCAGCAAAGGGGGTGCCCCACTCACGGCTATGCTGTTGGACGTGGGTCTTTTTCAGAGCTGTTCCCTCAGCCTCAAGTCCAGGAACTGTGGACGCTGCCCTCCAGACCCATCCTTTCCTACCCCAGGGAAGAGAGGGCCAGGGAATCGTCTGTGTCTCTCTGGAGAGGAAACTGGGGGTGGTTTTGCCCCACTTGCTATCAAGATACAGTCCAAACGCACCCTCTCCGCGTGTGGGAGAAGCACACACACTCGAGGCCGGAGGACAACGGCCTGGCTGGCTGGTCAGAAGCACAGGAGTCCCAGAGAAAGACTGGAAGACAATGAGGCATGAAGCCGAGTCAGACACAGACGTTGCCCACAAGGATGCAAAACCTAGTCCAATGGTTAAATAACACAAGGTCAAGAGTGGCGACAGCTTTGAGAGAGATCCAGGGGAAGTGCGAAAGGAAAGAGGCCCTTCCCTCCAGGACAGGGTTACAGGGAAAGAGTGCCGGGAACGCAGCTGTTTAACCTAAGCCCCGAGGAAGGTTTGGGCACACGGAAATAAACACAAAGGTGTTCAAAAGTAGGATTAAGGGCCCAGGGGACTCAGAAGACGGAGAACGGCCAACGGCTCAATCTGGGCTACAGCAAGGTGACTTAAACCTGAGAGAAGTGAGGTATGAAGCCCTCTGAGGACCAGACGAGAAGCGTGGAGGGTCTGCTCCAGATAATGGGCGGGGGCTGGTGGTTCTGAGTCAGGACACAAGTGCCCGGCAGGGAAAAGAACTCAAATCAACACAAAAGGAGGGCTGAGAGCACCACGCTTCAGGATGGATGGCCCGGCATCAGCACGAAAGATGGACAAATCAGAAAGGCTGGGACATGAGTCAGGAAGTAATGGCAATGCCCATGAATCCACGAGGTGCACAGCTGGAGAGGACAGCCTTCATTCCACACTCTTGAAGCCCATGTGCACACACCTCCATGTGGTCCTGTGACACACAGCTGGCTCCTGTGTGCACCAGGAGGGGGCATGGCCTCCATAACTTTCACAGCCTACCACCAGGGAAACCCAGAGTGTGGACACTGTGGATGTGATAACATGCAAAACTTCCTCCACTGGGCTCATCTTAGATCTGAACAAGGGAGCCAGGGCACAGCTGGGGGCGTGCCACAGGGTGAAGAGTCCCACGGGAGTTCCCACGGGGCAGGTGGGATCTGGACACGTAATGGATGGGCTCACATAAGACAAAAAGAAAACCACTAGATACTGGGACACGTTGGACCTGCACCCTCTACCCAAGGGCTTGTACCTGGACAGACATCTTCTCAAGCAACAGAACTCAAGGAAACCATAAGGGGCCTAAAACAGCTGCACACATGTGCAGTCAGTCAGGGCAACTATGAACAGTAAGATTCAAAAAGGCCGCAAACCAACTGCCACTTCTGAGGGGCCGGGAGCAAAAGCAGGTTCTGCGCACAATCCCAGCACACGGTACCACCACAGGGGCGAGCAGGCCCCGCCAAAGCCTCCCTCCACCCGACCTGCCCATGCGCCCCACCCGCACCTCACTGAAGGAGCTAAGGGCACCTGCTTCTTGTTCTCCCCCGGCGCTGCAGCATGAGCCCCAGCAAAGCCTGAAACAGCCCAAGACCCAGGTCAGCAACAAGACTTTCGCAAAATGTGCTGAACCAATGCATTTTTCTAAAAATTCATAAGAAGTACAAGGTTTAAGAGAATTTCTAGCATATAGAAAATCTGGATTTTCTGAAAGATTATGAATTTTTCTTCCCGGAACTTACTCTGAAAATTTGATGGGTACAAGGTGAGTGCAAAGTCCCTTACTGAAACATGCGAACACTGGAAATCACCCCAAGGAGGACCAGAAAGTCAGACTTCAGTGCCCACAAGATGCACCAGTCAACATCACTCCCTCTCCACCCTCGAAATGTGCCAAGCTGCAAAATGTGCTGAATCACAAGTGTGCTTTAGATCCAAGAAATGCG